TTAAGCTTATCGCTTGACGATGCCCCAGTAAAATAATTGATTCAACTTGCTTTATCTTCTAGGTGTTAGTTTTAACATGTTCTAGGCAGTTTTAATGTTGAAGTCAATTAATGGGTGAAACATGTTGGATAACCTTGTAGCGATCACTGAGCCAGCTCCATACAAACGCCCTTTAATTGCTAATAAAACACCAGACTGTCAATTTTAAATTCGAGGTAATTAGATAATTAAGCTTTAACTGCTAACTTTTTCAAGCATTGATTTTAACATGTTCTGTTCAGTAAGTGAGTGGAACATGTTGCTAACCTTGCGGCGATCACGAAGCCTTTTGCTACCTACAAACGCCCTTTAATTGCCAATAAAACTTTACTAATTTCGAATTTGAGGTAATCGGAGAATTAAATATTTACTTTTTTACGTTTTTACTTATTTACTAACGTTTTAAAGTATTGCTAATGATGACTGATGTGTTAATTAACTTCAGTTGCCTTGACCCAGCATCAATGTTTCTTTTCTTCAAAGTTTCGACGATAGCAAGTGCCTAAAGTTTCCGAAATCTATCGGTTTGGTGTTGTCATGTTTTGACTGTATTAATGCCAAGCCGCCTGAATTAATCACGCCTGTAAACGATCTATTTTGCCAACAAATTTAAATTAGAATTGATTCAGCCACTCGTTTAGGATTCAATCACATTCCAGTCACATATATCCTCCCTATCGCTCAATCTAACTCCCCAAGCATGTTTTTACGTTAATATCACTAACTGAAAGCGATTTTGAAGAAATCCGCTGCTGGTCAGTCCCAATTAACAAATGGAACAACGACGAATCGGACACTGTTTGAATATTTATTTGATTCGCCTTCTCTTTCTTGAAATTTCAATGGGTTTCTCAAGAGCAATGCGACATTGAAAATCGTACATTGAATGTATTTTCGGTTGCATTGATACTCTCTTGCCATGTCTAGACGTTTTTCGTATAGTGTTGAAGGTTCATTTTCCCATAATTTGCCATCCTCTTCAAAGTAGTAATTTGGCAGTATATACACCGTAACGTGATGAACATAAAATACTACCCCTTCCTCATGTAATCCCTGTAATCAGCACAGCCATACGCTGAATATGCAAAGCTCTCAACTTTTGTAGTTAACATTTGAGGTGTCTCAGTCCCAATTGAACAAATTGTCTTTGAAACGTCTTTAAATTATGCAAGTTATTCGGTTGCGATAGTTCCGGCGCAGAAAAGTCAGGCCATTTCACGTGTAACTCCATTTGTAAATATTTCATTGTTTAACTCGTGGGGTGGATTTTGCTTTCAGGAAATGGCGTTTGTGTCTAGCGGAGAAAAGATACCTACAGTCGAGCCAGCTATATTAATTTCTGGAAAGAGCGCTCTAATGAATATATGAACTGCTTTTATTGCAGATTTAGAAAATTGGATTCTCGGGTTAAAATTTGGAGCTCCTACGTGAGGAAATTTGGCGCAAAGAACTACAAAGTGGGTTCTATTATCTAGTAGGAGAATTGCTTAGTTAGCTACCTATTCAAATTGCTGTTATCATTGGCAAAACATTGAAAATCCAGCAAATAGCGCCTGGTCCTCCATCTATCCTTCGCTACACCATAAATACGGAGTAAACCAATTACGGGACGAAATTCGCGGATAATAACCGTCTCAAACTCCACTAACAACCCCGTAACACAAAATCGAAACGTACAGTCCTCAGAGTGTATCCCCGCCCGTGAATAAACTGGCACTGCACGTTTCGAATTCCCTAACTTCTTGTTCAATCGGTAGCCGCTCAGCCTGCTGGCTACCCTCCGAGCTACGCCACCTCTTCCGAGGGGGTTGAGAGTGAGAATATGAATGTCTAAATTGGTTTCGACGTTTCGTCGTTTTTACCGGCAGGTACATCTCAAAGAATAAATAACACCGATTGAATTTGGATCGACCATCATTGCGACAGAAAAATGCTTTAATGCAGTAGAATTATTAAACGAACGATACAATGAAGAAGAAGGAAAAATAACAGGGTAGTGAGGACGAGAGGGTTGAAACACATTTTGGAGTCCGACATGTCGATAGTGATTTTTACCCGGTTTCTTCATAACCATAGCAAGTTACAACTATCAAATTTACAGTTACAAAAGCAGAAAATGTATTTATTTGTTTGAAATTTCGGAACTTATTTTGTGGAAAAATGCTTCCGACACATCCATATTGATTTTTAACTAAGGATTTTCCTACAGTCATTTCTTTACACCGGATGGCCTCAAAATAAGGTCGAATCTTATTCCTCAACCTCAAACCGGTTTAGTTTATTCCGGAGACAACAAATCGAACTCCTAAATTGTTCGAATACTTTGCATAATTTTTTTTCTTCAAGAATTTGGTTTGTTGTTGCTTGAATTGAAGTTGGCCTTTTACTGAATTTTTAGAAAAAATCAATAGGTTTTAAAAAAAAAAACTACTTTAGGTTAGGCTTTAGGTACAAGTGGTACATGAAAAATTCTTTGAATTCAATGCGGAATAACAAAATAGAAATATTCATTTCAAACCAAAAAGTTAATGGCCGTAACTAATTTTTGGGTTACTTTGTGTAAAGCAGCTGATAAACGGAAGACAAAAATTAAAATCGACGGGTCCGAGTGTTTGCCGAAAAAAAAAACATTCAATTGTGTGATGGACTTGGTTGACCATAAACTTTACAGTTTGAAACAGAAATTCCTACTTTGAATCTAATTTTTAAAGTTCTTAAAAAGCTCAATTTGTTTGAATTTTCATAACTTATTTTGTGGAAAAATGTTTCGACTGATCCATATTGATTTTTTACTAAGGATTTTCCTACAGTAATTTATTTACACAGGATGACTTCAAAATAAGGTCGAATCTTATTCCTCAAGTTCATTTTTGCGCATGGAGACATTGATTTTATGTTTCAATTTTTAATTTTGCATCGAATACCAACTTTTTTGGTTTTTTCTCGTTTTTTTCGGTGACATTTGGTTTATTTCGGAGACAACAAATCTAATCAAATGCCTTTTCATGGCATTTCAAAATGGTTTATCATGAAATTCGATTGTTTTAATGTAAATAAAGCAGAACTTTGCTGATTTCTTCATTCGCATACATTGCATTATCTTTTTTCTTGAGGAATTTGATTTGTTGTTATTGCTTGAATACGTCGGTTTTTTACTGAAAATTAGGAAAAACGACTCGAGCACTTTGTATGTTGAATCGTAAATTTACCGATCTACTGGATTTCGGTGCGTAAGTGGTACATGAAAAATTATTGGATTTCAATGCAGAATTGCAAAATAGGTACAAATTATCGATCTATTGTGCAAGCACAAAAATGTCAAAAATAATAAGAAACAATTCTTTTGTATCTCATATCTCAATGGCAAGATAATCGCGAACAAACGGAATTCTCAAATAAAAGTTACTATTTCAGATCAGATTGGTATCTTCGAAATGTTCAAATCTCAAAATTCTTTTTAAGCTGAAGAGACCTTCCATCGTTTTAAGCTGAAAAAATTAAGGAAAGAAGGTTAGTTAATGAGAAAACCAACAAAATATTAATGGAAGTTAAATAGCTACTTTTGTCAAATATCTTTTTTAACAAAAACATGTTTTTGAACTTCTATTTAATATAAAATTAGCTGAATATGTTTTCCTTTTGTAATAAATTTTTTAAATTTTTTGTCGGCTTTCTGGTCTCAAAACAGTCTCAAACATTATTCACTTGCGTTTTACTTCTGGATTTCGCCTTATTATATTTTTATAAAGCAAACATAAAATAGTGAACAATTTTAATTGAAAAATTTCAATTTACAAAGTCAAACTTGATTTTTCGAAAATGTTGTCTTCATTTTAAAGAAAGGCGGATTTACGGCTAAACAGAGATTTCTATTGTATAGCATTGTTGCAAGAACAGGATCCGACGTTTCTATCGGAAACGTATATATTCGATCTTTCCTATCGAGTACACGATTTAGTATATCGGATTTTAACTATCGTTTTACCTCTTGGGGCCTTTGAATTGAGACATTTTCAATAAAGAAGCGCTATTCACGTCAATTTGAAACACATGTTGAGCCTCAATTTACCATTGAGGTAATTAGCTCAACCGCACGAAACATTTTTTTTGTAAATCACCTGGTTAATTTTTCATTCGAGTTGAAAACCAAGCGTGTACACAACTTATCTATAGAAACAAAAGGAAATTAAATGTGAAAAAACATATTGTTTAATAAATAGTTTAAAGAGTTAATTGGATCTTCCGCATCTTCAAAGTTGTGTCGTCCGAAGCAAACAGCCTTTGTTCAAGCAAAAGCCACGAAAGTTTAACTGTTTTAGAACCGAACAAATATGCTCTATCTTAAGCATAACCGCATTTATTTAATATTAGGAAAGGAATTTCTCCATTTCAAAGCAAAATGCCTGGATGTAATAGACACTAATGTTCAGTTCATCTTCACATATTAAACCGATTCCTAACGGTCCGCTTTCAACACATACCTGTCGGCAAAATTGAAACTCCCGACCGCCTATCAAAGAGCAAACCTTCTCCATTCCTGGTGTACATTATCCTTTGATGCGGAAAACTAAAACAGCTTTTATCTCGCTTTTTAATTTTCAAGAGATGTGGAGCCTCTATAGCTTGCGTCCCGAGCAAATTTGCATCTAGTGCCGCGGCCAAATACGTTGCGCTAAATTTAATTAATTTTGATGATACTTTTAAAAGTTGAATGTGAGCGACTTGTTGCGGAAAAGTTGTTTGTTTGAACTTTCGGCATTTCGTTTTTGCCGCGTGTGCGAGAAGACCTGGATGGGGGTGTTACCGCGGATCAATCATTCCAAAGTGGGAGCGAATATGGAGTAGAAGGAGGAAGTATTGTTCAATCGAAGTAAAAGCCCAACGGCATCGAAACGAACTGAAGAGTGTGTTTTGTAAAAAAAAATGAAGACATATTAAGAAGACTGTTGATTGCTGCTTACCTTTTACAGCTGGGTCTCAGTGTCGTTGCCTGCAAAAGAACAAATGGATGTTATTATTTTGAAACCTCGCGTCAGCACTTTCACTGCCAGTAAATAGGTGATTAAGCGTTTCTTTGTGATCACAAGCAATTCCAAGAGCACAACAAGTATTTACAAAACACTACTTTGAGCACCAAATAATTGCACCACATCCAGTGATCTGGTTAAGACTACATGCCGACAGACATGTCCATGTGAGTACCTAGCGCGAACTACCGATACCGCTGCGACCTTGCCTTAAGCGGTACGCAAAGGTAGCAGCTTAAAGCCAACCATCGGATCAGATAGTCGAACACACACAAATACAATAAAACAGATATTCAGCCATAGTCAAGCCAAAAAGCGCGCCGACCTTCTTGGCCAGGTTTCTACACGATTAGAACTTGTTTGGACGCTTCTCCTTTCACTTATTAAACCACGAAGTGTGTTAATTTTTATCTGGGTTAAGTGGCAACTATGCGGTACCAACAGTACTTCCTGCTAAGCAAAATTCTACACTGCAAGTGTACTAAGGAAAAACGCCACCAAACAGCATGGAATAGAATGGAGTATTTTCAGTTTTGTCGGGATGTACCTCCATAGTTGCAGTTTCTTCTCGGAAAGTATTTCGAAATTTATTTTTTGTCACGGCGTTTTGTATTGAGGTTTTCCATATAAAAATGGCCTTTGTAACTAAAAATCAAAATCAAAGCCTTTTTTCAAAAGGGCTCAAAGTTTAACCAAATTTCCTCCAAAGTTTAAAGAATTACTGCCAACTCCCCGATCGAAGTTAAAATTCACTTATTTGCCAGCTTCGACCGGAATTTTATTAGAACAAGCATGTGGAAAATCTGCTAGTGATAAATGCTCATTAGCATTTTTCGATTTAGTTAAACCTGCATTTTCTGATTCTTGGAATATTTAATTCGATGTTATTCAGGTATATTGTATTTTTGAGCCTCAGCCGATGTAAACGCTAATCCATTATATTGATTGCGCTCAGAAATTGATCGTCCGCCCAGCAATAAGTTACAGCATATTACGGAATTTCCAATTTACTACGAATTTCCAAGTTTACATCGATTATTTAAACTATAAATAGCTATTTCTTACCGAATAATAACTGCACTTTGCAAAATATCAAACTTAATGTTGTTGCCGTTCATATCTACTACAACCATCATCCCTGAAAGGAGATATGAACTGGTGGAGGCAGCATTTCTTAATCTTCTAACGATGTGACTATCGGAAGAGCTTTTTTATATAAGACTAAACGCCTTCGACAAGTGCGAAGACATTTCCATTGCCACGGCTTTGGCGATTAAGTGCGCCATATTTGCTTGTACTGACTGAATAAATCCTCTAAGTAAAAACATATAATACTCTGTAGAACTGCTCAATAATTCCGGAACAAAAAACAGCTATTGGTTGGGTTGTTCTCTGAGCGATTCAAGCGAGTTAGAGAAAGTGGCGAATATGATTCCCATCGAAAACGAATTACGTCGAGTAATAATTACTAAACAAGTGTAATCAGCTAACGTCCTAAAAGCTTTAATGTGTAGCAAACAGGCTTTATCGAACTGCCTTAAACAACGATTCAGTCATAAACGTCAACGCGAGCTATAAAAGCCTTTGTAATTTACTCTCATGGCTGCTTGATAGTTATGAGCTGGAAATAGACTTTAATCAATCTTGCTTGAGAATATCTGGTGCCGTATTAATTTGTCATTGTTTCAAAGCTGATAATGTGCAATTTAAATTCATTTGGCTCGAATTCATTTTGTAGGTGTCGGCTGGAAGACATGCCCGGCCACTGCATAGGGATAATTAATAATTTTTCTGATATTAAAATGAGCCTTAATTATTTAACGCTCTGCTCGAAAAGGGCTCAGTGATATCCAGAAAATTTTGGTTGATCGGTGTCCTCACTTAATTTATTCGCTTTTTTCCATAGTTTTGCATTTTCCAATTGTTCCATTTTTTGAACGACTTCAAATTTTGATTTTTTTCAGTGCTCACAGTGACACAATTTGGAACAGTTTATGCGTTATTAAATTATCGCGCTCGTTATTTAAATTGGCCAAGGGTGGAGAAAGACCCTTGCAAAATTTTCGTTCATAAGTAAAAATTTTACAACTGTGTTTTTCGGATTTCAAAATTCTAGCGTGTTTTTTAAGTAGCCCGTTGCATTCCTCGCCCCTTTTCCGGGGAAAATGGTGTGCAATTCAAGGCATTTTGAGAGACTTATCTTTTGCAAAATTCAACCTCATACACTTATGAAATTTTCGATCAAAAATATCAATCTTGCAACCGTGTTTTTTGCGTGTATTAGATTGTTTCCGACCTAAGAAGCTCTGCAATATTCACAAATAAAGTATTTGGGTTTATAAAAAAGAAGGAAAGAAAAACGATTCAAAATTGACCGAAAATCTTCACTATATCGGACCTGAAGATTCCAGTGTGTTCTTTAAGTACCTGCTTGCATTCCTTGTCTCCTTCGGGTGAAAATATTTTTTTTCATCCGGCCAACGATCTGCTTTGTCTCAAAAACAGCCCAATATTTAGCGGATAGTAAATAAATTTGTGGTTTCTTTCCCTCTTGTTCGTCACCCGAGCCTCCAGTAAATCAAGTCACTGCCTTCCGATAAAACGTTTGGTATTAAATCTCTTTTTGATATCAGCGAACGCAAAAATCGTGACCGTGAATTCAATCACGTTGGTGTATAATTAAACCGAGACATATTTTTTAAATTGTTCAACCACATTTTTTCGATCACTAACTCATACATAAGTCACAAGTTGGATGGCAAATAAATCATTTAAAGCAAAAATTGAGCCATCGTGCATACACCTGTTTCAACTGCAAGGTAGAAAACCTAAATTAATGATAAAACCCCACCAATTGCTTTCGAACAAGAAAACCTTATAAAAAGCAATTCAAAGCGTATCCTCCCCATCTTCCTTTGTAACTGGCTCATATTTTTTCCTCCTTTTATGCCCTCATTCCGTTCATAATGGAAGAGGCTTTGAGGAAACACTAAACGTGGGTTTGTTCGTGTATTGGTTTTGAGCTTGAGCGCACTAATTATCCTAGAGATTGAAGGGCTTAATTACATAAACTATTAATATATTGTTGCATATAATTAATTAAGGTTTTTGGTAGTCGGTCGCTTATTTAGTTGATTTAATTCGCGCCCCTAGCAAGATGTGAGGCCATTTTTTCTGGCCTATTTAAGGTCCGCATATAAACTAACTAAAAGCTGGTGGATTCGATAATTGAGGGAGTCTCCACTGTTGGCAAAACTTTCGTTTAAAAATTAAGTCAATTGAGGCTGCTCTTTTGCCTGAGCTGAACCGCATTGGGCATGGTTGAGACATTGTTGTCCAAGAAGTTAAAGAGTAGATTCTAGATTTTAACTACTCTTGCTCGTAGGTGGCATCAGACTGATAGACGTTTTAATCAAAAAGCCCTCAAATTAGACAAATATTTTCGATAAAGTCGCGAGAAAAATACGGTCTCGACATGAATATTGCATTCGGCCCGCTCCCGCCCTTCCGAGGCGAAGTTCTTTTGGTTTGCTAGATTATTGAACCCTAACAGTTATCTCGGATGACGACAACCCGACCCTTTTCACTGGCGCTGAGCCACACGTGTTTACATGTCGGAATTATTACGTTACGGCCTCCTCCTCGGTTTATTTTTCAAGGGGCTCTTGTCTCATGCAGTTTCGACTGATTAAATCTTATTGATCCGCAGCTTAATAAGGCTTTGTACCGGGACAAATCGCGCCCCGATTCCGATTCGTGTTGTTTGAGGCCGAATTCAACTAGTTCTGATCGTCTTTCGAAAATGTTTTGACATTTTAATCATCAGGTTCCTCATTAAGCTCCTATCACCAATGATCGATTCACAGCCCGAAGAGCTTCGGAACAACTTTTTGCAGCAAAAGTTTCGAAACTGTTATTCGCCACCATTAAAAAATGTTTAGAAGCTCTAATTGGGAATCTTTGATCTATTTAATGTCCTCCATTGACTACTAAAGTCTTTGCTTACGGATATTCCGAGTATCGGTTTAGCAGCAACAGCATTTATCGAGTTTTAATTTGTGACGAAAAACGCCATTAGAGTTGTTTTAAAAACTGACTAAAATTTTAAAATTGTCTTCTATTTCTTTTGCCTTTTTTCCAATTACTTGACTGATTTTCAGTACCCAAAAATGCTTGCGAAAAGTACAAAAAGCAATAAATGCGAATTATCATCATCAGCCATAAGAAGATGAATAATATTCCTTTGATCAACAAATAAATAATAAACTTTATAGCAGAAATAGGAAAGGCAAACGTGGGGGGAAGAGAAAAGAGATAAAAAATAAAACTGAGAGACTAAATCAAAAAGCTCCAATAAATAAGGCGAATTGGATTTAATAATTAATACGAAACGAAGGAAAGAACGGGAGAGTGAAAAAATAGAGCTCAAAGGAATACGTTTGGAACAATCATAAAACGTTTAAAAGCTGATTAGTTGGAAGAGACGAAATGAAAAAAACGTAGTTCCAAAGAAACATCAAGAACTGATGTGAGGAAAAATGTGACAGTTTTCATAGGTTTGAATTGAAAAGAGAAACAATCATACTAAAACAATGAAAACGTGATTAAAGTAAGCGGCAGCATATATTATCCCTATTTTTCAGTGGTATCTAATTCAAACAAAAATTATTGCAAATAACGCCTCTAAAACGGTATTTGGAAGACTCCAGATTGTAGCAAAATATCCGTTTTGCATATGTAAGAAAATCTTCTTGATGTAAACGTTCCATTTCGGAAGGTTTATTATTTCTTTTAATTCCCATAACAATGATAGTAAATATTTTCCGCAAACAATCCGTGTCACAGCGAAATCATGAAGTTCAAGGAAATGTGACCGACCATTATTTTGTTCCTCTTAAACTTGGAACCCGTCCAAGACAATAATGTCGGACAAAAGTTTGTGCTTTCATCAGAACAAATTAGCGGTTAGCTCCATTTAAATAAGCATTCGCAATTTTATTTTTCGCGTAATAAAGGCGATTTTCCACTCCTTGTCCCTCTTTCAAGCCAAATTATTTTCAGGAAAAACTTTTCCGAATTCCATTATGTATTTAAATCGTGACAGAGGAAATCTGTCGAAGATTTACTGGGATACTGTTGGATCGGAAAGGCCACTTTGGTATTAGTTTCGCTTTTGGGTTGTAGATAAGTTTTAAATCAAAACAGTTTTTCGCGTCCAGCTTTTTCAAATCGAAATATGAACACATTTAACCTAAAACCTTAAACCTAAGAATTTAGTCCTTGAAAAGTAGTTTTGCAAATAAAGTTCAACACTCAGCAACAGACAGCATTATATCGATAGACACATTCAGTCGCATCCTCGGTCTGGCTGCTGCGATATTCTGGCTTTCATTACTCTCAGGATATATGAGCGAAATTGCTTCTGGATAGAGCGACTGGGCATTAAATATGAATAGAAAATTCCTCCCTTGAAATTAGTAAGGACATGTACGGATCGAAACCATTGCTTTGATTTAAAATCGTGTTATTTTCTTTGCAATTATCCAGAAAGGCAATCATAACAATGGCACACAGTTATATGATTTCTATGTAATACGATTGAGTGGTTTTGTTATATTTAGAGAAAGAATCTCGTCCATTGGGTTTTTTTAAACTTTTCCAATGGGTTTGAGTTAACCATCTTAATCCTTATGTATTTCCAATACAAAGCTAAGTTCAGGAAGATGGCAGTATTGTCGATACAGCTCGTGCATATATTTAGAAACGTAAAATACACATTCTTGAATTGCACAGTTTTAAGTTGGAACATTCCGCATTTAAATTCGTTGAATTCATGCATGTCGGGAAATACATTTTGACTTTTTGTGGTTTTCTGTTACAGTCCGTAGTTGCTTCAATAAAAAGCCGAACGGTAAATGTTGGCATGGCCTCTTAGTTGTCCCGATCGGAATCTATTAGATTTTTTCACTTGCGGTCATTTAAATGTCCTGTTTCATGCAAATTCTATTCATGCCAGAGACGCGCCAAAAGAACGAGTAGAAAACGGTAGGTAGACGATTCGAGGCATTTTCGAGGGACATTCATTTACGGCATACGTTTGAAGCCTGTCAAGGTATGAATGAATGTCGACATGTGGAATATTACTGCAACTACTATTTACTACTACTGTCTTCACCAGTTTTCTAATAAATAATTTGAAGAACCAACATATTGCAAGCTTATTTGGTTTGTGCTCAATACCAATGCTTGATGAACAACTAAATGTATCAATGAAATACCGCCGTTTGTGCTTGATATAAAAATTCTAAATCTTTACCACAAGTTAGGAAACGCACTTGTAAAAGAATAAAATGCGAAACTAAAACCGCATCCGAATTGAAAATCAGACTGAGAAATCCGTGTTTATAAATCGCAGTATTGCGGCGGCCATAAAACAACAACTACATTTCATAATTAATTAACGCATTTTGCCGGATATTCGACGGCGTAGGGTTTGGAGCTGATTTCATCGAATTACGTTTAGAGGAAAATACGGAATAATTACTGGTTGATTAGCATGTTAAGTGCGGAACGGATCGATTACTACCCGATATTTGACTGATAAAGAGAGTTCTGGTAATAGTCGAGAATCCAAATAGATCCCGCTATTAATAG